TAAAGTGACATGATATGTTCAACAATTCATTTGTCCGTGTATCTAATTTACTTTTGAGTTTTAAAGATACACTAACAAAAAAATTACAGTCTAGTTCTCGAAGTTGAATGTCATAATTAAACTATATTAAACCCTATAATTTATCTAGAGTCTTCGGTTTGCTTCTTTTTTAAACAGACCATGGGATTTGCATTTGTTACCGACTCAAGTATAGAAGGGATAACATCTCTCAACAGTGAAATGGGACACTTCAACTTTTTCTCCGTCCATCACTTTAACATCACCGGAGTCACTATAACAGCTCCGGGCGATAGTCCTAACACCGATGGGATCAAAATGGGTTTCTCAAGCAACATGCATATTTCGAACACTCACATTGGCACCGGAGACGATTGTATATCCATTCTCTCTGGAACAAGTAACCTAGATATCTCTAACGTCACTTGCGGTCCCGGACATGGGATTAGTGTTGGAAGCTTGGGGAAAAACAAAGATGAAAAAGATGTGAAGGGATTAACGGTAAGGGACACAATTTTTAATGGCACGAGTGATGGTATTAGGATCAAGACATGGGAATCGTCAGCTTCAAAGATCCTCGCTTCAAACTTCATTTACGAAATTATCAAGATGATCGATGTGGGAAAACCGATCAATATCGATCAAAAGTATTGCCCTCATCCGCCATGCGAGAAGAAGGTAACTTGATACACAATGAAACAGCCTATGTTCTTTTCTTGTCTCATAAGAAACCTAATAACAAGAAGCTTTTTTTTTAACAATTTAGGGAGAGTCTCATGTTCAAATCGAAGACTTGAAGTTGAAAAACATATACGGAACGTCAAAAAATAAGGTGGCAGTAAATCTACAATGTAGCAAAAGCTTTCCTTGCAAAAATGTTCAGCTAATTGACATTAACCTAAAACACAATGGACGACATGAGGATGGTCCGGCTACTGCCGTGTGCCAAAATGTTGACGGTTCTGCACGTGGGAAGATGGTTCCTCAGCATTGTCTGAATTGATTCTATCGGAATAGCGATCGTGTGTTGTATTTAATATTTTTCATACTAGAAAACAACGAGAAAATGAAATTCATAAAAATAGTACTTTGGTTTTTTAACAAGTGAGGTTAATATTGTTAATCTCTTTATTATTTAAGCATTGCTATTTTGAGAGACAAACCAAGATAAATCATTTGGTATTTCATTATTAATACATGTGCATAAGTCGCTCTAATCTCTTAAATTGTATTCTAATTATTTTATAATGTTATTTAAGTTCTTCTGAAAGTTTTAGAAAACTAATTGTTTCTCTATAAGTGGTTTTCAATTTATATTGAAGCTAGATCCTTCGATAAAGTGTGTTATAGCAACAATATGTTTTTGTGGACATGTTGAAAAAAGACAATTGTGTTTACAAATAAATATATCTTCATTCATTGCTTCTTCCGATCTTCAAAACTTTAAAACCGAGAATCCAAAGTGAAGATTGTCAAAAAACGACCGCAAAAAAAGATATGAGACGAGTCGGAGAAATGATCCAAAATATTCGGAAGGATACCAAGTTCCAGAAAAATTAGACGTTACTCTCGAGAGAAAAGTGGTCTTAATCTATTTTTAGGGTTGAGTTCAAGTTATCCCCTCATGAAGTAAACGAGGAGAGTATTTATAGAGATTAGCATGTCTACGATTGGATAACGAATTTTACCTCTTTACAGGGATCGGGTGTAACGCCCCGAGATCAGGCATGTGATGTATCCTGATTTTTACGGCTTTTAATACAGTTTTTATAACTATATATAATGGTTTTTCGTGCTTTCATGCCTCAAGTGGTAGTTTTAGTATGTTTCTAGTGTTTAGAGTCTTTTACAGGTCATTTGGACAAAAAAAAAAAAAAAACGAGATATTGAACAGTTCCAAAGTATCAGATGTCGAACAACCGTTGGAGGCTTTTAATTCACTAGATTGAACTGAAATTTGGACACGAGATAGATGATTGAATCATCTTTCTTCCAGAAGAAGTTTGAAGCCATTTGGATCAACAGCCAGAAAGTTATACCAATTCTCGTGGAGACATATGAATCTGGTCCGCGAATGAAGCATGTGAAGACATTAGACCGACCGGAGAGCTCGACCTAAAGACAAAGACAACGCGGTCGATCTAGTCCTAGCCCGACCTAAGAGACCGACCTTAGCCTTCCTTGCACGAGACCGGTCTTCCATGCTGAAAAGACGGATTTTCCTTTTTCGCCTACAACTTCTCCAATTCGACCCAAGAAAGATCTAAACCTATTTATACACTTTTTAGCCACTTGAGCATAGGGAGACACATATTATTCCATAACTTTTACCTACTTTCGTTTTTGTGTTTCAAGGGAGAAGTTTTCAACTATGTACCTCTCA